CCTATACACCAATGTTCACTGTAGCACTACTCAATGTCAGAAAGATCCAACAATGTGAATGTGTGTTAACAAACAAAATATCATATATACATGCCAGTAGAATATTACTCAGCCAGAAAGAGAAATGAAGTCCTGATACCTGCTACATTGTGGATGATGAGCCTTGAGAACATTATGCAGAGTCACCAAAGGACAAAGACTGTATGACCCCACTTCCGTGAAATAAGCAACAGTTTAGATATTAAAGCTTATTAGTAGTTAGCAGGATTGGGAGAGAGGAAAATGTGAGTCACTGCTTAGGGGACACCCTTTCTGTTAATAAGGGTTCAGTCATTTGGAAAGGGATAGTGGGAAGGGTTGCATATGATGAACAATATCAATGCCACTAATTTCACATGCAAACACTGAATTGTCAAATGCTCTGTTATGTCTATTTTTCATAATTAAGATGAAACAATAGAAAATGCTGCTTCAATTAACCAGAAATGGTATTGCCTTTTCTAAATGGCCTTCAGAACAGTCTTCCACAGTGCAGAGTGAAAGAGTTTGTTTAAAAAAAAAAGTCAGGTTCCAATAAAGACACATCACAAGAAAATGAGAACAATACCCAGGGCTTATTTTTCACACACAGTCTGGAAGCTAGACAGAGGGCACTGAAAAGGGTCTTTGGTGATTAAAAAAAGAAAGAAAACTTTATACCTGAAGTACTGAGACAACAAATCTATTTGAACTCCACAATCTCGGAGACAAGGAAGGGTATGCGGAGATAGTCAATATTATAAGAGGTTTGTATTGGAATCTATACCCAATTCAGAACTCTTGCCACCACCATATAGCACTTATTCTAGCACAGACAAGAAAACCAACAATTATGTTTTTCTGCATATGAAATCCAGGATAGCTAAAAAGCTAAATAGAATGGTTCCTTCAGGTATGGATGGGGAGGCTGGGGGACATGGGGAGCTAATAACAATGAGTACAGAATGAAGACACTGTTCTAAAGCTGTTTGTGGTGATGCCTGTACAATTCTTCTTGATGTGACTGAACGATTGATTGAATTGTATGATATATGAATTATATACCAATAAAACTGTTGGGGGAAAAAATCAAGGAAAAAAAAAACAATTAGGAATGCTAATATAATGAAGACAGTTTACAAGTTCAAACAATCACTAAGTACAGGAAAAGTTATTTTGCTTCACAATTTTAAGAGTTCTCATTAAAGAGAGTGAAAATGACATTTTGAGAAATACCAAGGGATGCATTCACAAGAAATTCCAAAGAAAACCAAAGTTCATAAAACCTGAAGAAAAACCCTTTATTCTGCGTTGCTATCCTGAAAACAAAGAAGATTCAAAGGTGGAGACCTGGGTTCTGGTCCCAACTTAGTCACACACATTTGTTACATGCTTGTATGGTCACAGAAAATGATTTACACTGAGAATAGACTGCAAGATGAGAAAGAACTAGATAAGGGAGATGTCCACCCATGCTAGGATTATTCTCCGTACAGGCAGTCCCTACCACTTCTAGCTGGGTCTCATTCCAACCACTCCATCATGTTCATTTTGACCTAAGTCAAATATTTAATTTTTGTTTTTCAGTTTCATTATTGCCATAGCAATATGGCAGTGCTCTGAACAGTAAATCACCACAATGACCATCTCCAATGAACCTCTGAGAATGACCACACCAGCAAACTGTGCAGCAGCAATGGTTAAGGTGCACCGCAACATCTGTAAGTAGTACACACCACTCAAGGTAAGGCGCCGAAGCACACACACAGCAATGTTAAGTGTACTTCAACAGAACGCAAATCAAGGACTACCTGTACTGAAAAGATCATACATTTGATAAGGCTTATTACCACAGTCTACAAATAGTATTACCTAAACATCTCACTAACATCTTAATCTTAAACAGCAATGTTTTTAATGAGTGACAACCACAAAAAGCTCTAAAAAGAATATGATACCTAAAAAGTACCTAAAATGTTTACATCTTTTCTAATGCTCAGTTCCTTACTCCAGCCAGGAACCAGATTGTGACCACTCTGAAGAAAAAGCTTTCCTTCTCGTGTCAGCAGGTTCTTTCACAGACTTATGTAGCACTGCCCCCAAAAGAGACAAGGGGGAAAAAAGGGTCCCAAAAGCCATCTTGCTCAGCAGAAAAAATAACACGAAACAAGCAAATTTGATAACAAAAACCGATATAAAAGTAAAAATACAAGGACAATTATCTGGCTCAAAATTTTAATTTTGCTAACTTTTACTTTTCATCCTAATATTTATTGAATCCCTACTATGTGTCAGAAATAGAGTATTGTGAAAACATAATTTCTGTTCGAAACCAAATCGACGATGCAGTTTTGAAAATGAGAGAGCTATGAAATAAACCAAAGCCATAATAATCGTGGAATTAGTGTGGTGGTAAAAGTATGCTGAGAAAATAGTATTGAATTTTGAGTTACATGATAAGAAGCGCCAAGGTTATCAACAACTAAGGTACCTAAGAATAGTTTTCCAGGTGAGGGCTTCAGTAAGTGAAGGCCCAGAGGCAGACACTAATTTGAGGTGTTTGAGAAACAAAGAGAAAGCAGAGCGGTTTTGGTGAAATGAATTCCTCTGACCAACCCACCCCGAGGTCTTCTGCAGTTACCTTTGCCCCAGCTTTCTTCCCTAGAGGGTTTGTGATTGGTATGCACCTATAGAGATGGGTCCACAGACTATGCTCGTCCTTCCCAAATGGGTGTGGGTGCTACTTCCTACTGGGGGCACTGCTACGATCCACGGAGATTGTAAAAGCAAATATCTACACTTTATCCTGCATTATGAGCTATAGGACAAAGTTTTTAATTGTCACGGGACACTGAGTAATTTTTTTCCTGAAAAGGGGGTAATAGGCCAAACAAGTTTGGGAACATATGCAAATGAGTTGCAGCCTATTATATAATGAAGTGTCTGTGGCAAACTATAGATTCTAGTGAATTACATACAATGCAAGGGTAGTCATCTAGCTATTTCTTTCACCAAGACTTCTTTATATTTATTAGCGAAGTTCATACAATCTCACCCAAGGTTTGTCGTGAAAAATGAAAGCTCACAAATATGGTAGGAAAAATATAACTCTTAAGATATAGTAAATTAAAATGAATTCAATTCCAATATTATTGAGAAATGCACTGTCAAAAACTCTGCCCAAGTAAGTTCCAGATAAAATTGGGGGGCGGGGGGCGGGGCATAGACCCAAAAAGGCCAGACTTACTGTTCTAGTAAGAGACTACAGAAATCCCTGAGACTGTCACTCTAAGACACCCTTTAAATATGGAACTGAAGTTATGTCTGCAGGTCACCTTTCAGCCAAATCATACAATGGCTTATACACTAAATAGTCTCACCAGTGAGTCCTGTACTCCTTTAAATAATTAACTACATGAAACCAGTCAACAGTAACCCAAAGTAAAGATGCCATGGCAAGAAGGGGTGGGGAAGGAAGCTAGACTGATGGCGGAAGAGAATAAACATAATGGAAGAGGATAGTGACCCATTGTGTAAAGTCTAACCAATGGCGTGGCATGAAACAATACATTTCTAAAGGGAGTCTAATTTTCTATGTAAGTTTTTACCAAAAGCACAGTAAAATATTACATAAGTAAACCAGACTCCGTCCTGATTCTCAAGATGCTCATATGAATAAAATAGAGAGAAAAAAGTGACATTCATGGGCAATTAAGGATGAAGAACTTAAAGAAATAGCCTAAAGGCTATCATTTATTAAGAACAGGGGCAGGGAAGCATGCATCACCATAAAGAGGGCTTAGTCTGTCCTAGGTTACAAAACCAGGTTTTCAACTCAGAGCCCCGTCTTTCCCAAGACTCCGTTTCTAACACCTTAGTGTTGCTTCTTGACAATAAAAAGAAAGAAAGGACAAAATGGAAAGATGTCCAAAATATTAGAATACACCACAGCAGACAGCAAACCTAAGACCCACAGGCAAGGTTTATTACTACCAGTAATAGCTGTTATTTGTTCATGTTTAATTTTAAATACAGTCTTATCAACAAAATAAACCTAAAAGGGAAAGGTTTCTATAATGACTACTGTAAGTTATAAATGCCATAGGCGTATGTAAGGGTTAGCATCAAATTCTCAGTATCCCCATTGTCAATAGATCAACTTATGTCTAAATCAGAGGTTGGGAAACTACAGCTTGTAGGCCAAATCTGGCCTGCCATCTGCTTTTGTAAATAGCTTTATTGGAACGCAGCTTTACTGGAATATGCCCATTTGTCAATATGCCCATTTGTTTGTGTCTATGACTGCTCTCCCGATACAGCCAAGTGTAGTAGTTATAATCACACTGATCTATTTTTAAAAAGTTTAAAATATGTTTTATCTAGCTTTTTAGGTTTGCTGACCTCTGGTCTAAATGATAACCATGTTATCACAAACAGTGGGAAAAAATTAGCCTATCCATTTCAGGCCACTTTTAAGTTTTTTTATAGATTCTACCTGATTGATGTTCTCTTCCTTTACAATTATTATCACTTAGTAAATGTTCATGAGCCACAAATAAGTCCACATTTCCATTACTTGTCATACAGTAAGATTTTATTTCAGTTGTTCGGTAATTTGTCCTTCACAAAATTCTCATTAAGGGACAGTTACAACAACCCCCACACATATTTAACTCCCAATTTCGTGCCATCTACACAGACATAAATAAAGCAAAACTGGAGTACAGAGACAATTGCTGATTTGACTACTTCCTAATACCCTGTTCATAATAGAACAGTCCACTCAAAGTGCTGTTTGGGACATAAGCATCACTATCACCTGACCGCTAATTAGAAATGGGCCCCCATTCCAGGCCTACTGATTCAGAATCTCTGAGGCTGGGCGCCCAAGAGTCTGCATTTTACAAAGCACTCCACGTGATCATTAAAGTACACGACAAGTTCAAGAACGGCTGCACTAAAGCATACTTCCTCGTACTTACTTTGAGTGTGAAAAGACTGATTCGGCCAGGAAGTTTGTAAAAAAGCCCCTCTCCTCCTCTTGAGTTGGAATGCAACATGGCATTGAGACACGCAAGAGGGGACGTCCCGCTGTGAAAACACAAAAAGATGGATGAGAATCCCACAAATCTGCAAGATATGTACACAAAGTCCTAGTACCCTCCAGCTCACTCTTGAATCAAGAAAAAAGGGAACAAGAAATGCAAAAAGGATCCACAATGATTCTGCTATAAAACCAGTAAGAGTTACTAATAATATTCACATAGCTCCACAGAGCTCAGGCATCAACCAGCTTACAAGACACGCTCACTTTATACCAAACTCGTGTGACAGTTCACAGTATGAATGAACTGTATTCCCAAGAAAGTCAGAAGGAAAAATAAGATTTTTCCAATTTCACTCAGGAGCTTAAAAAAAAAAAAAGTTCCCCAATATTTTAATATTAAACTCAGAAAGTTTTGCCTGTTTATCATGCTTGGAAATCTCCACATATTATCAGCACAAAGACCACAGACTCAATGATGCTGTCCCAATAAAACAGGAACGCTCTTTCAGTTAGCTATTTCCTACTAAGTACACAAAAAGAAGTCTTTCATTTTCTTTTTCTCTGTTCAAGCAGGAGAAAAGGGTGAGTTTTATTCTGTATCTTCCCAAGAACAAGCACTTAAATTTGAAATGTATAAAGAAAAATGGTAAGCCCAATGGGTTCAAAACCCAGGCCCCTGGTGTCATAGTGGATTATGTACTGAACTGCTAATCCCAAGGTCAGCAGTTCAAACCGACCAGTTGCTCCATGGAAGAAAAATGAGGCTTTCTACTCCTACAAAGACCAACAGCCTCAGAAACAGGGGCAGTTCAACTATGCACTTATAGGGTCTCTATGTCAGAAGTGACTTGGCAACAGTTGAGTTAATGCTTAAACATTAAACCAAAGCAATGGCTTCTCAGGTTGTGTCTCAGACCCTGACACCACTGGAGGCTACAGATCAGTGACAATTCAATGAGATCGAGGCTACTTAATAAATCTTTAAAAAGTTGGCAAAAACAGGCAAATGGCCGTTATTAATAGCATTCGGGTTTGACACTTGCAGGTTAGTGGTAGGTTCACCTGTGCACCTTTTCCTCCCCTCTTTAGCATGTTAAAAAATATAAATATCTTTAGTAAAGCTCTTCATATTTCATTTTTCAGAACAAGAGGTACTACTTTATGCTGAGTGTTAAAAATAAATTCTAATTCTAAAAAAGGCATAAATAAAAAAGCCTATTAATTAGGTACTCTGCTTCGGAACACACTAGATGCGGTGGGGGGCAAAATTTTTTTAAGTAAGAAACAGCAATGTTCACCAAGCACCAATCTCTAAAGCAGTGGTTCTCAACCTGTGGATCGCGACCCCTTCACACAGGTTCCCCAATTCATAACAGTAGCAAAATTAGTTATGAAGTAGCAATGAAAATAAATGTTATGGTTGGGGGGGGTCACCACAACCTGAGGAACTTTCTCAGAGGGTCGAGGAAGGTTGAGAACCACTGCTCTTAAAGGAAGCCTTGTGCAGAATCTAGATTATCAGTGGGTGTGCTAACATCTCTGCTACAAGGGAAACTAAATGCTGGCAGAGTCCCCTGCCAACAATATGACTCCTACACACTACAGCTCGATCTACAAATTACATAGCTGTTCCCTCATCACAAGCCACCATAACTGTTGCCTCATTCCTAGCAGAGCCAGAAACAGAGACAAGTGAAGAGCCTCCATTCCATTTGTCCCAAAGGGACTATTTACCTTCTACAAGCATAGTGGTCCAACAGCCATGCAGACAGCAGCACAATGGGATGGAGCCCATAAAAACAAAAAGAAAGCACAATTATAACACTACACAGTGCACAGCTATTATTTACATGTATGTGGTCCTAGACAATCCTGGTCTTCCCTCCCAACATTGTCAACTCAAGAATATTAAAGACTGGTCAATTCACAAGCAGCTAAGTTTTAATCAGCAAAACCATATGCTGTTTGTTCGGGACTGTGTTATACTCGTGTTCAAGTTCCTTCAAATTGAACCAAGAAAAACATGGGACTACTACTGAAGCAGGTGAGAAAATGAAGTCTTGCTACAACAGTTATGGACGGAGCTTGAAGTCATTAAGCTGGGTGAAATAACCCAATCACAAAATATTCCATGACTTCACTTATATAAAATGCTATGAAAAGACAAATGTCTAAAACTCAAAGTTTATTAGTGGTTACCAGGGATGGAAGGGAGGGGGACAGGAAGCACTACAGGGGATGGAGCTATCATACTGAGTAATAATAAAGTTGACAACTGATTATTACAATTCCTGTTAATAAGTTGTACACAATAAAAAGTTGAATTTGAAAGTTACATGATGCGTATTTGTAACAACGACCTTTTAAAAAATGAAGAGCTAAAAAAAAAAAAATGAAGAGCTACTGAGGCTGCTTATGTACAACTACACAACTCATGGGAGTTGGTGCCTTGTAATGGAGATTTAAGTTCAAGATTTCATGGGAAATCCTAGTTAACTGGCCTAATAACATGCTTATTGCGTCAATTTTGTCTTAGTTTGGTGCATTGTATCTGGGGTCTTAAAAGCTTGCAGGCAGTCATGCAAGTAAGTCATAACAATTGGTCTCTATTCACCTGAAGCAACAGAGAATGGAGAGTCAGGAATAAGACGATGTGGACAGTATGGCAAATTGCCTCCATGGACCTACTTTATCACAAGACCGGAAGAACTGGATGTACCCGGCTACCATAACTGAACATTTTGATCAAAGGTTTCATAGAAGAATACTGATGAAAAAAAGTGGGGAAGTGAAGAACAGAATTTTCAAGTCTCCTAGATTATAAATTTTCTGGAGCTCTGGAGCCTGAAACTACTGCCATGAGACCATCTTGACATCTTAAGTCAAAAATAACCCCCAAAGTCTTCTTAAAACCAAACAATCGTCTAGCTTAGCTAATAAAAAAAATCTGTCATGTAACAACGATGAGAAATACAATTTTCCTCTAGTTCCTAAATGTTTCCTCCCTGCTCCCACTACCATGACTCGAATTCAACCTTGCAAGTCTGGCTAGACCAGAGGATGTACACTGGTACAGATAGGAACTGAAAATACAGGGAATCCAGGGCGGATGAGCCCTACAGGACCAGTGGTGTGAGCGGCAAAACAGGGAGGGCAGAGGGAGAATGGGTAGGAAAGAGGGAACCGATTAGAAGGAACTATATGTGACCTCTTCCCTGGGGGACAGACAACCAAAAAGTGGGTGAAGGGAGACGTCGGACAGGGCAAGATATGACAAAATACCAATTTATAAACTATCAAGGGCACATGAGGGAGGGGAAAAATGAGGACCTAATGTCGGGGGTTTAAGTGGAGAGAAAATGTTTTGAGAATGATGTACAAATGCGCTTTACACAATTGATGTGTGTATGGATTGTGATAACAGTTGTATGAGCCCCTAATAAAATGTTTAAGAAAAAAAAATCTGCCTTGAGCACTATGCATTTTTAAGACCTGGGATCAACCGGACACCTACCACTGCCACTGAGTCCTGTCTAACTCATAGCCACCCTATCAGTCAAAACAGAACTACTTCCTAGGACTTCCAAGGCTGAAAATCTTTCTGGGAACATAAAGCTTCATCCTTCTCCCTCACAGTAGCAGTTGGTGGGTTCAAACTGCCAACCTTGTGTTTATGAGCCCAACGGTAGCCTACTACACCAGAGGGGTTCCTTAAACTGATCATAACAACTTGAGAAATTAAGGGATCAATAATTTATGTTAATGAGGAAGAGTTCAGAAAAGGTGAGAATGTTTTTAACAACTCGAAGAATGCAACCAATGTATGAAATTGTATATATAATTTACAGGAAAATAAAGCACAGGGGTGGAGGTAGGGGAGTAGTTGGGCATGAAGATAAGGAGAAAATAGAACATTGGAGATACTTTGAGTTCAGTTTCCAAGGTCCTGCAGCAGAGCAATGTTGCAATAAAGTCACATGAATTCTTTGGTTTTTTAGTTTATCTAAAAGTTGTTTATCCTACACTACAGTCTATTAAGTGTACAAAAAGCACTATTAAAAAGTTTAAAAAAATGTGAGACTTGAAAAATAAATAAATGTGAGACTTGCCAAAGTATAACCAAGAGGCATTTAGCGAACATGCTCCTGAAAAAAGAGCACCAATAAAATGTCAAGCTAGGGTTGCCTCAAAACTGTTAGAAATACAGTAAATGTTAAGCCCAATAAAACCAGGTACAATAAAAAAAGACGTGCCTATATTATTAAAAACCTGTCATTGGGTCAATTCCAACTCAAGGCAACTCTACAGGACAAGGTAAAACTGCCCTTGTGGGTTTCCTAGATCGTAACTCTTTACGGGACTAGAAAGCATCATCTTTCTCCCATGGAGCAGCTGGTAGTCTTAAATGTCAACTGTGCAGGGTTAGCAGCCTGATGGATAACCATTACAGCATCTGGGCTCCTAGAACAGGAATTTTCATGATTGCAATTCCTATTGTACTTACTTACCGCTGCTCTATGAAAACTACCCATGGAGAAAAACCAAGGAATCTCAAAATTTAGTCTGTTTGTATCATGAATGGTTAAAACAGGGGAAAAGGCAGCGGGTTGTGTACTGTACGGAACAGACCAGCTTGACCCTTCGGTGGTTTGGTGTGGAGGGGCATATTCTACAGCACACCAGCCCCTGGCCCTTCTCCACAACTGAAACGTACAAGAGGCCTTACAGAACACATGTCCAAGATTCACAGGGGAGTGTGCATGGAGGACGAACCCCTACATCCCTGAGGGAACCCGAGGGATTTCACCCACTCCCACCCAGCACGCAGAGGATACAACCTGGGAGAGAGCTCACTACCACCACCACTGGACACATGAACATGTAAACATACACAGGCATACTTACTGACATCACTACAGCACTACAAAGACACAGGTCCTAGGAAACCCTCACGGCAAGCAGTAAGATCGATACAAACCTCATTTCCTTTAGTCCTTCTGCCTCTATGACCTGCAGAATCTGTTTTGGTGTCATTGGCGCATCCGAGTAGTTTTCTAAGACCTGAAGAAATATAAATTCCTGATTCAGTGTGCAATTTCTATTTACATCCATCAATCTGCATCATGGTGACAGCCCTTCTAGGTGAAAGGTGGTAATTTTGATTTTCCACGAGTTCAAATTACCTTAGAAACAAAATTACACAACAGCTAGAAAATGGATGGGACTGCAATTAGCTAAAATTCTCTAATTCTCAGTCCTCAGAAGACACATCTTCTTAGCAAATGTTATGCATACAGGCACATGTGCTATGGCATGTGGGGCCTTAGGAACCCTGTTTAATATGTAACTTGCCACGCCACTGTGAATGTCGGCTAAACCACAGAATATAAAGTGCTGCCCAATAAGCCAAGACTGCTAGCAAAGTACTCAGATTTTGTTTCCTAAGGAAATTTGTTTAGTGCCAATATTTTTAATATGGCGCTTTTGCCACCATTTGTGAAATCTGGGGTTTACAATTTGCCACTTGACAACATTATTCTGTAATTCCATGCAACTGATGCATGTCCCATTCATGTCAGGATCATCTATAAATCCCAACAGTATCTTCTTAGTGATTAATGGTAGCTCTCTCGCTTTAAGAATTTGAGTTGCTTTAGAAATGCTTCTCTTCTATGTGGGGAAAAAAGCAGGCTGTCAATACCAGTATATTTTCTCCAACTGGGCAGCTGCTGAGGTTGACGCCAAAGCAAACTAAAATCTCTCAGTCTTCTTTAGCAACCATAATACACAAGCACGGCCCTGTCACAAATAAAATATAAAGCGAAAGCCTTCCGGGTAGCTTCAGGAGCAGTCTTAGGGACAAATGAAAGAAGCCCGCAGTACTCCAGGAAGTTAATGTTCCAACAAGGCAAATGCTAACTGAAAAAATCTCCCTTTACCATGATTCCATTCTGAGCTTTTTCTCTTCCCAGGGCTCATACTCTCTCTGCGTAACATTATACAGTTCCTGACAGTTTCCACTACCTCTGAAATTCTAGTAATTCCCAAATCCAGTCCCAACTTCTCCCTAAGCTTAAGACCCAAACATTCAATTCTGTGCTGGACAAGTGGATTGGTAATTCTCCTCTTGAATGTCTATACCATTATTTTATATAAGAAGCATAACTAATTCACACAGGAAACCAATACAGTACACCACCTCCATTGTGTACGGGAAAACCCAATGAACCAGAGGGCAGGTGTCGAGTCAATCCCTAATCATGGCAGTCCCTCAAGTCAGAGTAGAATGGAGTGTGCTATGCAGCGAGGGCATTAATGTCTGAGTCTATGTCTGAGTCTCGTGGACTTTCTTTCAAGATGCCTCTAGGTCAGTGGTTCTTAAGCCTGTGGGTTGCGACCCTTTCACAGGGTCGCCTGATTCATAACAGTAGCAAAATTAGTTATGAAGTGGCAAGGAAAATAATTTTATGGTTGGGGGGGGGGGTCACCAAAACATGAGGAACTGTATTAAAGGGTCGAGGAGGAAGGTTGAGAAACACAGTTCTAGGTGAGCTTGAACCAAACTTTCAGTTACTAGTCAAGCATTAAACTAACTGTACCACCCAAGTATTCCAAAACCAACTCAGGGCGACTCACGGGGGACTCCCAGCTGCCTGCCTCCAGATCCACTCTTCTATGTCCCTACGTCAACTAGCAGTCTTCCCAGTCACCTAAGTCAGAAACCAAGGTGTCACACTTCACTCTCACCTCTTCCCCAGGCCCCAGTCAGCCTCTTCAGGGAAACCCAGTCCTGCTTTCCTCACGTCTTTTCTTACTCTACAGCCATCTTTCATTTACCAAATGGAGTATTTACACTGGGCCAGGCAGGATTCTAGGTATTCTTCACCACACATGACCAAATCCTCATTCTCACCAAGCTAGAGTCGGAGGTCAACCCAGCATGGCAAATCTGTCCCATCTCTTTACTTCTTAAAAACCCTGTAAAGTCTCCCCTAACTGTGCATAACAAGCTGAAGCATCCAAATCAGTTTCTCCTACTGGAAAAGCAGAAGCTTTAGCCCAGACAGTTCCAGACTCAAACTGGCATCATGCTTGGTAAAGCAGTGGGGGCAGTGGAAAAACGAGGAAGACCTTCAACAAGATGGACTGTGTCCTTCTGTTGTACATAGATGCTGTGAGTCAAACCAACTCAAGGCATCCAACAAGAGTCCTGGGCAAAGGATATATTTTGCTTGGTAAAGTAGAGGGTCAGCAAGAGAGCAGAAGACAGACTCAAACATAATAGTTGTATGCCCGGTGCAGGACTGGGCAATGTTTTGTCATTCTGTGCATAGGAGTAGCTATGAATTGGACCCATCTACCTAGCGTGGCTCCCTCACTTTTGAGGTTAGGAGAATAGCATCCTCAGGGTTGTTTCAGATTACATAATGAAGTGCCCAGAGCAGGGGCTCAGTGGCCTGACACACATCTGACTCCCACACTGACATCCTACAAACTATACTCCACAGCGATTTGTAGTCCTACCCTACTCTCACACACTATTCCTTGTCACCTGATCCTCTCATGCCCTCCATGAAGGGACTACCTCGTCCTCACCCTTCACAAGTCAGCTCAGGAAGCCTTGGCTGGTTTCTGCTAGGTGGAATTAAAGGTCTCTTCAGTGTCTCCACAATACCTTAACACATATAGTTTAACTCCCAAACCAAGACACTTGAGAATAAAGGGAAAAACTACTGATGGCATGGTAGAAATGGGTAGGACCCAAGATGTCTGTTCACCCTATTTTATACACCTACGATAGCTGCTATCATGCCCGTAATCTCACACACTACTTATACATCAAAATTCTCCCACCCCTAAAAGACCATAAGATCCTCAGGCTCAAACCAAATATCAAGAAGCCCTGGTGGCATGGTGGGTTATGTACTGAGCTGCTAACTACAAGGTCAGCAGTTTGAAGCCACCAGGCACTTTTCAAGAGAAAGACACAGTTTTCCACTACCGTAAAGACAGTCTCAAAAACCCAGAAAGGCAGTTCCACCCTATCCCTACGGGGGTCGCTCTGAGTCAGAATTGACTCAATGGCAGTGAGCAACAGTGAGTAACCAAGTACGACAGGCAATGCTGACTTTAAACCCACTATAAAACTTGTACAAGCTACTAATGTGCACAGTCTTAAGATATCATTTCTTAATTAAGGATAAGCTGAGTGGGCATATTTTTGTAGGGTGGTTTTATAGTGTTGTTAAGAAGTATGACTGAAAACTTAACTACTAATCATATGAACAGCAGGCAGGGCGAGCCAGAGAACCTAAAACAAGGGAAGCAATCAGTAAAGAGAGTTACATCCAAAGATGCAAAATACACTTTTACAAATACACAATTCTACAATGTTGTACTAGGATACCCAAAAAAGCATATACTTTTTAAAGAATTATCTCTTCAACTTCAAAGGGAGAAAAATTATTTGATGTACAAATGGTCAGTCATGAACCAAAGTTAAAGATAAAGCAAGCAATGAAGAGTGTCTCAAAGCCAGAGAGGATCAATTTGAAGGGAAACCCTCTTGGCTATCGGCTTCCCAAGCAAACTGCTCATACCTTAATAAGCAAGAGGATTTATATCCGCCACCCTAAAATCTACCTTAGAAAAGACACTCAAAATGTGTCTACTTCCCAACATCATAATTCACACTTGCAAAAAAGCAGTCCCCAGGCTACTAGCACCTGACTTTCTAGCGCCTGACTTCTGAACCCACAACTACAAAGGAGCTCCTTTGAAGCTACTATATTAAAAATTTGGGGTATGGGCCATGGCTTGTAAAAACAAATGGATGCTCATCAAAATAGAATAATTATTATTACCATCATATTCTATGAAAAATGTTTTCATGTTCTTTTAATGCACAGAAAGGTACACTATATACTACATACTAAGACAATTAAATGATGCTAGATATGAACTGTACCTGTTCCAATTTCTGTACAAATTTGACTTAAAAACAAACTTGGGAACGGAATTCATTCCATAACCAAATGATGACACTATTCTACTGACATTCTCCACCATTCGCCTCTTTCCTCTATTGATATTGCTTGGTTTGTATTTTTTTAAATAGCTACCAGTACCACCTAGCCACCAATCTGAGCAAAGCCAGGAGTCACCTGAAACCACCCCTAAGCAAGTCTCTCTGATTGCCACAACAAACACTCCAAATTCACCTGCTCCAGGAAAAATGGCCAACTGACCTACCCTCCACTCCAGCTCCCTCCACAGGAAAGCTTCTCTGTTCAGTGTAGCTCTCACAAACTCCATCTCCAGCAGTCTGTGTTCCAGCAAACTTAAAAAGTGCGAGAGGACTCTAAACAGTTCCCCTGACTCACCAAGAGGTCCCATTCCAAGGGATTCAAAGCAAAAAGACAAATTTCCCACCGCGCTTTTCCCTGAGTCCTTTTTCACATGTGTAAATGCACCATAAAGTCAATCCTATTCCTATTTTGAATGAAGACAAAGAGCTGGGTTGGATTACCTATTGTGAAGTTGATGCAAGGATCATACAAAAGTAGCAACCTGGAAGCAAGGATCATAGTACACTCAAACACCTAAGTGAGCACTCACAGAGTAATGCACCCACCCCAAAGCCCTAAGTCTTTCCACTACTAGTAAGTGCCAACAGGACTGTGAGACAAACAGGCATTAAAATCTTGTCAAGACATAAATTTAAAGGCAGACTTAAATGTACTTTTTCACCTACCTCTAACAAGTAAAATTCTGGCAAGAAAATAAATTTTGCGTGCCCAGTCATAAACACCTATTTAACAGGAACTCAAAGAGAGGGCTCAATGAACACCCCGGCTAAACCGCAAGGAGAAAGAAACACTGCCTATTACCTTGGTTCTCCCCTAGTCCCCATGGAGACAAGGGAAGCAACACTGGGGAAATCCTGAACGCTAAAAGCTTCTGATATCTGGACAGAATCTGAACAACATTTAGAAACTTCAGAATCATCCAATTTCACATAGCCAAACCAAATGAACACATGAACACACACACACACACACCACTTCCGCATGCACATGACGACTAAGTCTGTTCCTTGGGCAACAAATGCCTAGAGAAGGTGATCCGAAACTCCTTTGAAAAGAATCCTGGGGGAGGGAGGGGGGAATATCCTATGGGGCAAACAACTTGGAAATCACTAACTGGGCCTTACGGGATCCAAGAAATTAAAGATGTACCCATGACTAGTTATCAACTCCCAACACATACTCACCTCTGAGGCAGGAACCTCACTCCCTTACGCATAAAATGCAAGATCAGAAGGTGGAGCTTCATTCATCATCAAAAATGAATTACAGCAATGACAGATGAACCGCGGGATAAGCCAGGAGACAAGTGTGCCCTCTGCATCATAACCTTGCCCTGTGTGACAGTTCTGAGGAAGCAACATCCCTGGGTGAAGCGTAACCTGCTAGTACTGTCAACAGCCAGGTTTTACAAGAACACGTCTCCAAGTGTCTTAGCTTTGTAGGTGCAAATCCAAAGAGGGATTTCACTTACAAGTCCGCTGCAGGCTTTGAAAGCAGAACAATTCACAACCCCCCTCCTCTCACCAGGCAGTTTCCAACACTCAAATTACTCTCTTCTTTGCTAAGCAGTATCTTCAAACAGAGCTACTTTGTCTTTGTCCAACCCTTAATGTGGTCTACAGGCTCGGTGCACTGAGGAGGGGAGAACACACATGCTCTGAGAAGTGTGATGGCCAGTCCCCCACCCACCCCACCCCGAGTGCCTGTGGTGGGCCAGTGTTTCTCAAACCACGGGTCACCTGCATTGGAATCACCTGGAAAACTGGTTAGAATGAAGATCCTCAGCCTCGACCTCCGAGTCAGTCGGTCAGTCTGTCTGTCTGAGGAGGGGGCCCTAGCACGAGCATTTCCGACAACCTCCCAGGTGTCCCCACCGGTCACTAAAGTTTGAGAACTGCTCGGGGCTCAAGCTGGGAGTACGACGCACGTGCTCCCTTCCACACACACCTGGTTTAGATTGGGAGCTCTCCAAATGCCACCGCGTCCTTGAAACTGGGGGCCGTGCCCACCCCCGGAGTCCAACCCACCACCCCATAACCCACCAGGAAGCGAGGGAGGGGCTTCCGACCCTTCCTGGAAACCTAACTCCGGGGAGGGGGGGTGGGTGAATAAA